CAATTAGTTTTAAAAACATGTAATTATAAAAGGAAATGATTAACTGACAAGGAAGCTCAGTAACTAACAGAACCTATATTAATTAATAGATGGAAATTAATATGAAAATCTTGTGTAATTATTTTAAATATTGTAATTGTATGATATTATTTTTGTTTATATTTTAAATGAAAATATGCTTATTAAATATAATTTTAGATAAAATTGATTGTTATACAACAGTAGATCTAAATGCTTTCTATTCCAGTAATTTTTAATGTAATTTACAATATATTAATTTGTAACAACACCAAGATATTTTATGGTTTATCACTACTCAGTTATACTGACATTTCCAAATTTAAGCAATTAAATCAGTTTTTCAAAGGAGGCTCTACAAGATTTAAACATCTGATATAGCTTCTGCATTTTTCATACAACTTATCTAAGTAATTATTTACAGAAATAAATAATTCTTATGATAAACCCCAAGTTATAACTCTTGCCAAATACCAATCAGTTGATGTAATATATGTTTTTATTAGTCATAATTCTATTTAATTTATTAGGAACAGTTTTAAAACTGAAGCAAAATTAATATTTTAAGGTGGTAGCAAACAAAGAATTAGAGAGGAATTTTAATCAAAGTGAAAACAATAGAAAAATGGAGGAAAATCACTTCATAATTCTTCAATTTTGCTATAGAAAAGTATTACATATTGAGAAAGAATTATATTTATGATAAATTGGAAAATCATTTTCATCTGGTGATTATCAAAATTGTCTTCACTTTTATCAAAATTTATCAAGGTTTAGCATTTCTGAAGGTTTAATTATATATAAAATATTAAGGGGAAAAAACATTCAACAAAAACAGTACTAAATAACACTTTACTAGAGCATTTATTTTAAGGTTTTGCACACATGGTTTTTAAAGAACTAAAATGGAGGAGGTGTTCATGCTGGTCTTGCATGCTCATTAACATAGGAGACATTAGAACAATCTAATGCAATGCTTAAAATGATGCAATTTGTGCACGGCATGCAAAGGAAATATTTGGGAAGAAAAAGAAGGTATACAATTTTATAACCAATTGGGCTCTAGAATCACTTTAATGAAGCAATATTTTATAGTAAATATGACAGCAATTAAAATAAACTTTTCTCATGACTTATGAAGAAGTAAGGAAGAAATACAATAACAGAAGCATTAGAGATTAGATTTAGTGATCAAAATGTCAAATTTATAAATTTGAGTCATCAAAAACTATCCCAATTTCCTTCAACTATTAAAAATAGATCAGCTGAAATCTTATATGATCAAAAGCAACAAGATAGATAAAACTACTCAATATATAACAAAAATACATCTGCTAAAGATCTCAAATCAACTAAAAATATTACAGATCAGAACCACAAAATGTAAAAAAATGTATCCTTCTCTTTATAAAAGATGAACTAATATCTGACAATTCTTAGATACATTCTTAAAATTCTCTGAAATAGATTTTAACAGTACCTTGTATAATTATCACAGCCTAATACATTTAAAATCTGGAATACTTTTATAAACAAAAAAAAGAAAAAATAAGGTACCATAAAAACGTTAAGTATGAATTTATAAAACACTCCATTAATAACAATGTTTCAGATTTTTACTTTTACAGGCATCATCATAAAACCTTTAGAAAATTTATCCAGAGAAAGTAAAGCAATTCATAAACCAAACAAAGCAAGATTATTAGTCAGGATATCTGAGAAAAGAGAGAAATATACATTCCTTTTCCTTTTAATCCCAAGAGGGGTTCTGACCACTGAACTAAATTGTGTTACTATAATTATTAGCTACCATTTTCCTTTTCTGAACTTTTTATGTTAAAGTAAATAAGATTCCCATCTTTCCTTATGTCTTCTAAACATGAAGATGACAAAAGAATGGGCCGAAGCAACACAATTAGTTTAACAGTCCAAACAACACTTGGAATGACAAAGACTTCAATATATATATATATATATATATAAAAATTTTCATGTTCTTTAATATTCATTCTCTATAATTTCAAAATGTCTCTTCCAATGAGTAGTGTGCAGAATAAAAAAAAAAAGTTTACTTTTCTTGAATAAGTTCCAGCTTTCACTTGGCAAGTTTGAAGTTTCTTTAGAGTTTTTCTAAACTCTAAAGAAACTTCAAACTTGTCAAATGAAAGCAGGAATTGTTTGGCAGGTGGGGGTGAAGGGAATCTTAAGCATATTATTTGGAAACACGAGTTTCTCATACAACTTAATTCAAGTATCACTTAGCATTCAAATGGGTTTCAGAATGACCTCACAAATAAGAGTACAAAATTGGTCAATATAAATATATAGGAAATGAAAACTTTATATCATTTTTCTCCCAATTCTCTGTCAATTTTACTTGTTTACAGACATTTTATGGTAGCAAAAACACTATTGCAAAGCTAGTCTAATTAGCCCTTGCTACTGAGCAGTAACTTCAATGCTCACCGGGTGCCCCCATATAAAAAACTGACATTAGTACAATCAATGAACCCATCAACTTTACGAGATGAAAGCTAATTCCCCCTTTCTTTTTCTTATTGGACATTTAATAGTAGAAATTAAAGACATAATTTTATTGTACAGAGAAACTAGCACCCTATTAATCCAAGTCCTCTTCTCACTGTGCCAGATTAAGCTAGTCAATTTTACAAGTATATAAATTATACTTAAATATCCTATTACTTCTAATCCAAAATGTGCAGTCACTTCTAGTTAGTAATTGCATCAATATTGTTAATAGTATTTATAAGCTATTTCTGAATTAATCTGTTAACATTGACAATCTGTATATTTTTTGGCTACAATTGACACAATTAAGACTAAGTACTCTTAATATCCATTAATTGTATTTATTAGTCAGAAATTAAAAGATAGAGAAACACTAATGCATTTTGAAAGCAAGTAAATACAGACTAGTAGGAATATAGGAACTAAATCCAACAAAGTTCAAATATCAAGTTTAAACTTTACTTAGCATAAACTATTATTAAATTCAATGCTTTCACAATAAAATCGGTATCAACTAACTGATGTTGGTAAAATTTTTGCCCTATACTTATATGAGTATTTTATGTCTTTATTAAAACTATTGATAACAATGTCGTAGGTCAATACCAATGTACTTAATGTAGCTTTAGAACCATTGGCTTTATCACAAAAAAATGTTTAAAATCACTAATGGTCATTTATTTCTGAAGTTACCTCCTGGCTATTTTCATTTTTATTGCTTTTGTGCTGATATATCCGTCAGCTTTTTTCATTTGCATGTTGCCAAAACAAATCAGCAAAATATGGAAAGTATATCCACTGAGAACTTCAGATGAATTCAAAAAAGCCAAAGAATATATCAGCAAAACATGATAAAAACAAAAATAAAAAAAAAAAGAAAACACTATTTTCTAGAACATGAAATGTTAAAACATGACTATCTTCTTAAAGTGAATATTAATAAGTTCTGTCTTTCATAAACTTCATGCTTTGATGGGTTCTTAATTTTCATACATTTCCACATTGTAGAAAATATTTTAAATAAAAGATTCCCAATTTGACAAAATAATCAAAATGATCCAACAAATGGAACAAGTGAAATGTGAATTATAAAACCTTTTTGAAATCCTCAGAAATTTCAAAGCTGTAAATTAAAGAGTGTGGAGTAACAAACTAAAACAAGCAATTGGAATTTGATTTTTAACTTAGAATTTCAGATAAACTAAAAAAAGACTGCATTACAAATAAAATTACAATTTTCATAAAATCTGACTAGTTTTCTTAGTGGTGCAAATAATAGTAGGTAATTTTTCCTACAAATACCAAGGATTTTACAGATCACAGACTGATTGCAAAAAGGTGGAGGTAGGTTAAAAAAAGTATTTTGCCTTGGTTTGAAGTTGTTTTTTCTACTGTTAGGCTAGTTTAAATTTTCAAAATAAGTAACATACTACTCAAAAATTATACTAACATACTACTCAAAATTATTATACTAACATACTACTCAAAATTATTATTAACATATACTCAAAAAATTATTATACTAACATACTACTCAAAATTATTATACTAACATACTACTCAAAAAATTATTATACTAACATACTACTCAAAAATTATACTAACATACTACAAAATTATTATACTAACATACTACTCAAAATTATTATACTAACATACTACAAAATTATTATACTAACATACTACTCAAAATTAAAATTAATTACTACTCAAAATTATTATACTAACATACTACTCAAAATTATTATACTAACATACTACTCAAAATTATTATACTAACATACTACTCAAAATTATTATACTAACATACTACTCAAAATTATTATACTAACATACTACTCAAAATTATTATACTAACAAAATTATTATACTAACATACTACTCAAAATTATTATACTAACATACTACTCAAAATTATTATACTACTCAAAAATTATACTAATATACTACTCAAAATTATTTATAACATACTACTCAAAATTATTATACTAACATACTACTCAAAATTATTATACTAACATACTACTCAAAATTATTTATTAACATACTACTAACATACTACTCAAAATTATTATACTAACATACTACTCAAAATTATTATACTAACATACTACTCAAAATTATTATACTAACATACTACTCAAAATTATTATACTAACATACTACTCAAAATTATTATACTAACATACTACTCAAAATTAAGCTAAAATCAAAACAAGTATGAAGATAACTTACTTTTGAGCCTTCAACCTTAAATCTAATTCTTTGTTATTTTTTTTTATTCAAATATAGCTTTTCATTCCACTCTATCAACCCATTGTACCCAACAGGTCATTTATGATTACGATAGATACTAAAATGACTTGAGTTTTATCTATCTAAAAAAAAACAAAAAAAAAAAACATTTAAATAGTGTCTCTTATCAATTACCATAGCAAGCAGCCACATTACATTGAAACTTTAGTTCCCCCACCCGATCACCAAAGTTGAGCAACATTGAGCCTGGTCATTACCTAGATGGGTGACCACTTGGGAATAGCAGGTGCTGTAAGCTTGGATGTGTGAGTGGTGTAATGGATAATGACTCGGAATTATTAATTGAAGAGCCGAGTTCCAATCGGGTTCGTGATATTCACTTACGTCCAAATACCCTTGGGAATGGTATGAACCCACCTCTTGCTCCTCCCAGCTATGGGTTAATTAGCAAGACTTGTATCACTAAGCTATTATTATTATTATTTCCCAAAATAAAATTGTGCACAAAAAATATTTAGATTTCAGCATTAAATAACCCATAGAGATGTTGATGTGCCACTAAACAAAAACAACCAACTAAACCAATCAATTACCATAAATTATATTGTCTATATGCACATTAAAGCATTTCTAAAGTTAAAAAAAAATCCCAATTGCAAAGAAGCTATCAGAGAAATATTTTGAAAGCAACCCAAATTTTATCCTAAAGTTCCCATAAGAACAATGCAGAAACAATGATATATTCTAAGCTGTATAGAAACTGATACAAGTTTTAAGAAAACACTGAATATGGCAATTTATATATTGTCTTTTCAATTAACAGATAAAACAAGATTCGAAAGATTATAAAATTACAAATTAGTACATGTCGAAGTTAATTAAAATCTAATCTTTTTTCAGTCATAAATCTATTTTCCTTACATTATTTTTAGAGAGTTTCAATTAATATATTTTTTATTTTGAAGACCACAAGGCAATATACAAAAAAAATTTTATATGTCAATGTTTCATTGGAGAGAGCATAAACAAAATGGTTTACATACTCTAATTACCAATTACTAATGTTCTTTTTTGTGTAAATTACTTTTAGAAAGACATTAACTCTAATCTTCTATAATGAAAACAATGTCTAAGCAAAACATATTTACTAAATTGAGAATGAAAGAGAAAACACTGGCATGAGTGTAGAGAATCTATCGGAATTAATAATCTCCAAAACACAATTTTCCTCCTGTTCTTTTCCCTTATCCAAATGCAACTTCCTTCTCATTTGAAGGAATTATATATCAGGCATTATTTATTATTATACTGATTACAAACCGGAGTATATAAATACCAAACAATCTCTAAAAATAAAAAAAATAAAATAAAAAATAAAATAAAAATAAAAAAATGATTTTCAGTTTTATTTCAATTTTTCTTTGGTATTTGGTAAGAACTGCTACTAGAATTTAAACTGAAGCATTTTCACATTTTTTCATCTATGTCACTGGGAAATATAGACTCTGAAAAGTTCTTAAGTCAAATTGATCAAAAATGGATTAAAAATTTACACTAATTACTCATCTTTCACATTTATCACTCAAGTTTTTTTTGTTTTTTTTTTTTCTTTTTTAATAAAGCCACAATGGAGTAATAGATAATGGCTCAGAGAACCAAATTCAAATTAAGTTTATTACATTCACTTACATGCTAATACCCTTGGGAAAGGTTTGAATTCATCTCTTCTACCACCCCACCAAACACAGGTATGGGTAAATACCAGGATAGACTGGGCCCTGTAGAGAAGGACAACTCTGAATTCAACATCTCAAACTAAGGGTTAAATAGTAGGGCAATCTAGACTGTTGCCTTGGTTAGCAACCAAGTCTAGAAGGACAACTTTGAATTCAAAACTGTAGGTAGGCCTCGCAAAGCATGTACTATGAAGCTAAGGAAAGGATAGTAGAATTCACATTGACTCAATGATTCTGACTATGGTTGACCATCCATCCAATACTGAGCAAAAATGATAAGTTACTGGAAATATGACAAGATTCAGTTCTTCAGTCTATGGAATAAGATTAGGAAAAAACAGAGGTACTTGAGAACAAGATGCTATCAATCTTGTAATTACTCTTATTTTATACTTCATTTTATTTTTATTTCTCACAATTGGCAAAAATTAAACAATTTTATTATATTGTTTTCTTTACAATAGTTTTAATTAAATGCTGTGCAATTTTTTTTTTTATTTTACTCAGCACTAATTATACAACAAAACTGTCAACAAAGAGATTATTCAGAGTTCAAGAAAAATACTTCACTATTTTCACATTTCTATATAAAATTTTAAAATACTCATTTGTAGACATGAACTTTCCCACAAAGGACCTGATTTTAGAAATAATTAAAAAAGAAAATATTTCTTAATGATTAAAAACAGTCAATTAGTCCAACAAAGTGTTAATATGGTACACACCAGCCAATTAGTACAATTTAAAGGAATGATAAATGACCTGTGAATAATAGTATCTGTGTATGAAGAGAGAGGGGGGGAAGGAAAGACTTTTCTATTTGGGGTGGGAGAGTAAATCTGAAAAGGAAAAATGACACAAACAAATCTGTTTTTGTTTTATTTTTTTTTTTTCTTTCCTTTCTTTTTTTGACACTGAAATCTAAGAAAAAGAACCTCTTTGCTATTCTGAAATCTGGTTAAATCAACAATATTGATGAGATTGAATGCTACTGATGTCATAATTTTTTTTATGTGCATACATTTGCAGAAAATGACGATAGAACGAGAGAGAGAGAGAGGATAAACTACAAGTATACTAGCAGTGGAAAATCCACAGTGACAATGTGAAAGAAAAAAATGTTTTTACAAAGAAAATATCAACAGCAAAATGAACTAAGGGTCTTTCCCCCTATTTAAGTCAGACTTGACCAACACACATGCAATATTTTCTCAAGAACACATGCAGTTTTTTCAGTTTTCAATTGACAAAGAGAAAAAAAAAAACAATAGAGAATAAGGAAAACTAGAAATGTAAGATGAAAGGAAGCTGCAGGATAGCATTTCTTGGAATTTCTTTTTTAAGGATGTAAATTTGAAAAGCCTATATTTAAAATTAGGTGACAAGCAATGAGACCAAGAGAAAAACAACTAAAAATTGGGGAATATTTAGGGGTTTGAAATATTGACTGCACTGTATGTTATTTTATTTTATTTTTATTTTTTTAAGTATTTAAAGGTTTTTCAGATAGAATAAGCCAGGGAAAGATCCTTGGTTCAAAATGGAAAGACTGTTGTAAGAAAGTTTGTTTTGATATTTTTTTAATACTATTGGTTAGCAGCCACTAAAGAATCAAGACATACCTCTAGCAATGTAGCCTTTTGTACTTGAACCAAAAGATTTAAACAAAAAATAAAGGAATGGGGTTGATGAAGAGGAATGGAATTTCACATTTTCAATCCTGTTAAGTTGACTATTCCCCCAAAGAAATAGATGACCTGGAAAAGAAAAGCAAGTTAAGAATGCATTTTGGTAGTACATTGTGAATAAGAATGGGTGGAAAGGGACAGGCTTTTTGAAAACTGATTGGAATTTATCACTTTTTAAGCTTTTAGAAGAGAACTAACAATGTTTTAATTAGCTTTCTACATTTTATTTTATATAAATCTCCATTTTTTTTAATTTTTTTTTTGGAAAGAAAAAAAAAATGTAAAATGCAGACAGTGAAGAGAAACAACACTGGCATTGTAAAATGGTCATTGTTGCTGTATTTGTAAAATCATAAGCAGAAAAAACAATTTGTATTAACATGAATTTACATTCTCAGAAATAATCATTTTAAAATTTAGTATAACATTTTCTAGGGTAAAAATGATAAAAGTAAAGATTTTTTTTTCTTTAATTAAACCATTCTTTAGCTATTCTGGACAATAGTCAGCTAAAAGAAAAAAAATGGGAACTGATGAAGAAAAAGTGCTATAGCTCTGTTGTTTTTTTTTTTTTTAAAAAGAAAAAAAAAAAAAAAAAAGGCTAATTTTCTACATTTTTCCACATAGGCAAATGTTTATGCATTTATAATGCATGCTCATCTTTGAAGTATAAAGCATTTTGATTAAAAACTTCAAGATCATAAACATTAACATATTGTTATTTTAACATTTAGCACTCTGCATTATTATTTCTCTTTCTACTGTATTATTTGTTAAGGCCTCTCAATTGCAGTATCCTTATTGTTAACTTCACTCAAAGTTGTTTTCCGTTGCCATATCAGGATATTACAACACAACTATGAAATTCAAAGACATTATTGTTCAGGGATCAGAGTCACCTTCAGTGGCAGAGTAAACTTTTTGTACAGTAAATAATATATACAGAGTGATAAAGGTTAAGAAGCATCAATCAAAATTGGGGGAGTAACCTAATAATAGTAATTCAATATTTACCCTACAAGTTATTGTAAGACTAGAATAAATATCAGCTGCAACTATAATGATCATTTATTGGGGATATTTTCTATATAAAATGATCCTAGGCAAAACAGCGTAATGGTTGTACGTATGAATAAGCAAAATAATAAATTATATAAAGCAGATTCAAAAAAAGTAATAGCAATTAATTCTGGGACATGCTCTCTAATAGAATAGTCCTAAAATCTGGAGTTTATTACTAATGGGTTATACTAGGCTTATTGTCCTTCATGATATTTGTAGAATAAAAGTAGTTGACATTTCTATCGCCTCTGTATCATGTGACAATTACAACCAAGTTATATAGTACCCCCTGTAGCAGGAAAAAACAAATTTGATTGAGATCTTTATCAACTATTGTAACATGCCAGTGTTAAGATCTTTAACAAGATATCTTGTTTTTTTTAGATAGAATGCAAAGAAAATGTGAGTTTATGCCTTTCCCATGGACAATAGTGTAAAGTGAAGGTAAGCAGGCTCAGCTAGAATCCAAACAGATTGTTTTTTACAAGTGCAGTGAGAAATGGCTTCTATCTTTCACAAAGGAATTAGTGTGTACATAGCCAAAATCCAAATTCAAGTTACTGTTTTTAATATTGATAACTATTAGGCCACTTCACATGTCGATAGACATACAAAATATGGATCAACAAAACAGATTTAGCTATACTTTTGAATTTGTTAAAACATTCAAAAGATGAAAATATTTCTGATGCTTCATTTGTCTGGAAAGTGGAATATATTTTTGACCAATTTAAATTACTCATTATCATCAGGCAATAAGGTCTGAGGTTATTCTTTCTTAACAATAAGAAAACTTGACTATCCAAAGAAATAGATTAAATGTTTGTACATGAGGTAGTGGGCCTCTTAATTAGCAACTTAACACAAGCAAAATGAACTGATTTCAGGATATTGATAAAAAAAAAAAAAAAAAAGGAAACTATAAATTAATAGCATTTTTTAAGTTATGAAATTTGTTTACATGATTAAATTAAGCAATTCTTTATTCCTCAATGTACATCCAAAAGCAGTTTAAAAATCTCTTTCCTTAACATAGATTATCAGTAAGATTAAATAGGTAAGTTAAATTTATTTATTTTCACAAATTGATATTTCCCATCAGCCAGAGTATGAAATCATTTTGATATAGTTGAATAATATCCAGTCATTGTATTTTATTTTTGCTATTTTAACAATATTTCTATTTGATATTTTAATTGACATATGTTTGAACAACAAAAAAAATCCAACAAGCCATTATAACAATTTCCCCCCACAAGAAAAGTTCAAATACAAAAATAGGATTACATATTAAGTTATACAACATATCAAAATCTAAAGAGAATTTCATAAATTTATTTTGATCAATGTTCACACACATTTTTTTAAAACTTTGAAAAAATAGATACAAATTATGTTCAAGGTCTAGCCATAATTTCATACTCTGTTGTATAAATCCATCAATTCAGAAGGATGAGATGGAGAATATCAAAGAAAAGAGATTTTTTAAAATATTATTTAGCAAACAATTTCCCAAAGATAAGCAATTGAAGTTTTCTTTGATTTTTTTTTCAAGGGTCCAGCAGCCTAAAACAAGGGCTCTACCTTTGCAAAATGGTAATTCTGTGACATTCCTCGTTCCAAGGCAGGTAGTTGAAATTTATGTGGCTGTTCATGATGCCACATATGAGGAAACCACCAAAAATGATCTCTCTTCTCTGAAAGACAATCAATTTTTTATCAGAAATAAGTACATGCATGCATTTTCCTGCACATTTAAACACACCCAAGAAATAAAATATAAAAAATTCACAGTTGAAAAGGTTTTCTTTTTAGAGTTAAATTTTCTTAAAAGCTATGCACCAAAAATAAAAACCATAAACAATTGTTCAAAAATGTAATATGCACACACACACACACACATATATATATATATATATATATATATATATAAGAAAAGACTAAATATGTTGGAGGTAGGGCAAACTGGCAAGTGTTTATCAAATGAATGACTGAATAATGAAAAGTTCATGAACAAACATAAAAAGATTATAATTATAGCAGAATTTCATTCAGATTTGCAAGTCACCCTGTTACAAAAATACTCTTAAACAAGAAACTGTTATTAGAAAGGCTGTTTCACCAGGATTTATCACATCCACTTCATATTAAAAAAAAAATCTTGTAATACAAGATATTATTACTTCCAATATTGACTAATATATAACAAACAAATTTGTCAATATTTTTTATCTGTATTCTCAACAACTAAAAAAAGTGATCATAGAAGAAAAATCAGCTAGCCACATTTGTAAATTACATCTTTTCCACTAACTGTTCCAAAATTCTGGCTTTGTCATGTTTTACAAAAAAAAAAAAAAAAAAGACAGATGTGTGTGCATGTATACATGAAATAGCTTCAGCATAATTCTCCCATGCCATTCAAGCTCAGCACCTGGTATGTGTATAAAGTGAGTATATCTTGCCTAATTCTTAATATACTACTTTCTATTCATTTTTGGCATGTGTAATATCTAATGAGTGTAGTGGCAAAAAAAACATTTCTTTTTTTATGAATATACAATGAACCAGAATGTTATACTGATACCTTTAACAAGGCAATAAATGAGAGAATGAGAGACTTATCCTCCCAAAAATGTGGAAAACCACATGAAGGGAAAAGCTAAAGTTATGAAACAATAAGCTTTACTATTTATATAGTCAGATATTCTTGGTTCAACTTGTTTTTGAGCATCTTACAAACTTTGTATATAAAAGTGTGTACAATAAAAAGCATAATGCTCTTAATTAAAGAATTGTAAGGATTGGTGGATCCAGGATTATCTTTATGGTGCATAACTTTTGAAACATTCATCAAATGAAATTTAACTTTTCCACAATAAAAACAAAATAAAAAATGCACAGTGTGAAAGACTTTCATAAGGAAAAACATTTACTTTAAAGGCATGACAAAAATTTTAATTATTAAATAATGAACAAAATTATTTTCATAGTAATTTTGGAAAAAGAAATCAAATTATCTTTTGAATTAAAGATATTTTCAGGTTTTCAATTATCAATACAAGTTGTTTGATTATTAATAGAAATAAGAAATTCATTTCATTCTTATTAAAGTTATTTTTGTCTCTAACTCATTATTTTCAGATATGCATTTTACCTGATGCCATAGACAACAGCAAGAGAACATGTTCCAATTGGACAATAATCCAAACATAAATAATAAACAAAACAGTTTTAAACTATTGTATTATAATCTTGATTGTAAGCTTTTCCCATATTTTGAAAGCAGCTCTTAATAAAATTAAAAATAAGAGTCAGATTGATATTTTTAATCACTTTTAAAAAATTATTTCCATTATTTTTAATCATGAAAATTATAAATTTGTTCTTGTTTATTAGTAATTTTAATTTCTTAATCTGAACATTTTAAAAGAATCCTAAATCAGTTTACAGAGGTGTGACTAATTTTATCCTCATGAAAAACCTGAACACTTTAATACACGTTTACATGTATGGAATTGATAAATCCATAGCCTCATGGGGGAAAAAAAGAATTTAAATCATAACTTTATATTTTTCAACAATTTCCTTCTTTTTCAATGAATTTAATTCAATGCTTCTCTATTAATCATAGAATGAATATTATACAATAAACATTACAACTTTAGCTAATCTGTGAGACTATAAACTTATTGGTGCATCTTTGTGTGTAAACAGTTATAAAAATCAAATACACCAAACAAAAGATAATGAGGTGGTTTGAAAAAATTGTAACAAAAATCTGCAATGTCTTGATGAAATCATTTCCAGTAGCAAAATGTAACCCTGCTTCTATTCTCCTAAAACAGTATTTCCCCAAGTAAATAATTAAATTTCATATGTAATTCATCAATACAGTAGGTAATACATTTTCCTGAACTATTGTCAACAATCAGGTTTTGTTTGTTTAGCAGCACATCAACTCCTTATGGGTCATTTAATACTGAAATTTAAATTTCTAGGGAGCATTAGTAATTTCTTTTACAAAATATATTGCTGGTATTTTTACTATAAAAATGTATTTTTATACTTTTATAGTCTTTTGACCCCAGTTTATAAGTTAACTATTTGCCCATAGTTGAGACCCTAACAGGTGCTAGCAACAACATTTTCAACAATGTACCAACATCCTGTTTATATAGTATTGCAAATAGTATTGAGTAAAAATTAACTTTAGATAAAATGCATATATATAATATGTGCAATCTATTTTAGTTTTATATACAGCAACAAAGATAACACATGCCCAAATTATAAAGAAAACATTTTGTTTGGAGATTGTGGAGATGTTATAAAGTAATACAAGTCAATATTTTAGCAATCTCTAAAAATCAAAGTGAATAACTTACAAATCTTAGGAAACAAGAAAAAAATATTACGATAGGATTCATTTGAATAAATGTATATCCTCCTTACTACAAAGAACAAATGAAAAAATTAAGCAATTAGGTAAACTTTGACAGAAAACTCGGCCAAGCTAATATTTTTAATTTTTCCTATCATAGCTAACTATTCTGATTGAGATCCAAATTAACCAACTTTTAACTATTCATATGCCTGTGACTAATTCAAGCTTGTGTAGCCTTCCTGTTATAAAGCCAACACAATCTATCATATATGATGAATGAATATGTATTATGAATTTATGTTGACATAATACAAACAAGATTAAATAACAATGTTACTGTTACAAAAGACAACAAAGGGAATGCCATTTTTTTTTTTTTTTTTTTAACCATTTCACTCCAAGCAAAGTGAGAGTGCCACTAGTATGCAGAGGGAGTTACAGAGAGTGAAACTGAGAGAAAAAACTGGGGGATTGCGAAAAGGATAAAAGATGAACGGCGGTTTTTAAGTCAACAGATGACAATTGACATTGCATTTAAATTTCTGAAGATTGTAGTTGTCAGGGAAGCAAGTAAGCAGAAGGGAGTTCCACTGTCAGGAAGTGCAAGAAAAGAAACTGTTGGAGTAGAAGTGGCAGTTACATTTAACTATTTCAACAGTAAATGGGTGGGACCTAGATGACAATCTAGTAACATGCTTAAATTCATTGTAGTTGGAGCATCAGAGAAAAAAAAAGCTGGTTAGAACAGTTGCCATGAAAAGGCAGGGGAGTTTTTCTATGGTAGTTAATGAGAGCAGTTTAATTTTGGGCGCATTAAAATTTACAAGCCATTTCCTACCCCAGTTAACCAATGATTGGAGGTCTTTTTCAAGAACAGCAGCCAGGTTAACTTTGTCAGCTCTAATGGATTTGCTATTGAGACAGGAGTAAATGATAGTGTCATCTGCATATATGCCTACTTGGGAACTGATGACATCAGGAAGATCATTGAAGAAGATTAGAAAAGGTGTAGGACCCAGTATAGAACCTCAAGGGACACCAGTGTTCAGGTTTTTTGGGTTTTTTTTAATATATACAATAATACCACAGGAGGCATGGTGAAGTAATGGATAGGTGCTCGGATTGAGGAATCAGAGAGTCGAGTTCAAATTCCAGTCAAATCCATTACATTCACTTACATGCTAATACCCTTGAATCCACTTCTTCCCCCAGCTATAAGTAAATAGCAAGACAGACTGGATTCTATAGCCTTAGATGGCAACTAGTCTATCACAGAAAGAAATGGCAACCTACTGTGGGGGAAAAAAAAATCTGCCTCGTCAGTCATGTATGGAAAGATACAAGATCACTTAAGTGTGTATCACACATGGCACATGACTGACTGAATACCTTTTAGATATATTTTCTGTCTATTTTTTTTTTTAATTGCTAAAGACAATAAAATGAGCCAGCAAACATTAAAGAAATTCTCAAGAGTTGTTTGGTAGAATGTAGAATGGAAGAAATGCCAGTAGACTGACTAATCAAGATTTGTTTAATGTCACTGCCCCCATATACATACACTAAATGCATTATGACAAGCCACACAACGTAGCACTGACATGTAGCATGTCAAATATTCAAAATAGATACTGTGTAAATATTTCAAAGGTATGTCAAATAGTTACATTAAAAAAAAAAAAAAAAAAAAAAAAATCAGCATAAACCGCAGGCTTAAGAAAAAATGCTATCAAAAATATAAAATAACATTAAAAATGTGCAGTCTTAGAAAACAGATGAATAGAAATAAATAAAATAAGAATTTTCAACTAATCTATGTTGGTTGACCAGTTTCAAAAACCTTTAAGGAAAAAAAAACAAATACCAGACTTTGCTGGGGGTTGTAGTCAGTCAGCTCAAAAATGTTTGTTTACAGAAATTTATGCTAAGCGACTCCTTTCATCAAAAGAGATGAGTAAACTAGTTAAAGCTCAAAAACTCAAAACAACAAAGCTTCTCTGAGCCATTAAGCTTAAACTTCTTTTTTTCCTCAAAAACTGAATGATATTTATGCTAAGGTATGAACTATGTATGTGAAATAGAACTTATACACACCTTTACATACATAAACTTTGTTGCAAAATGTACATAAATTGCAGTTTTAAATTTTGCAACAGTTATTAGAAGTTTATTTTCTGCATTAATTTTGATTATGACTGATTACCAAACCTGCTATAAATGTACCATAGGAGATACGAAACTGTTGCAAAACAAGAAAAAATGTCATGTAAATATAGGAAAGAAAAGTTCATAAATCTGTATGCCATAACT